GAGAAAGTCAAAGAATCTCTAAGAAGCAGAACAAAAGACAAATTGGAAAATAGGAGGGGAAGAAATTAAAGATCAATACAGAAATACTGGTCTAGGAGGCCCAACATCTGAATCATAAGAATGCTAAAATAATAATGATAATAAAACAGAGAAAGTAGGAAAATTCTCTAAAAGAGATAGTCTGCAGACTTAATGGCCACAATAAAATGTCCCTCCAGGCTTTATTATACAATATCAGAATCCCAGGGATAGAGAAGGTCCAAAAAAGCTTGAGAAATGTAAAACTTGGTTACGTATGATGTACCACACAATGGTAACAGTTTCAAGAACAGTATAATGAAAACACAATAGAAAATTGTCTTCTGAGCCATGAAATTTAGTTTTCACTCTAGAATTTTATACTCTATAACAAAGGAGGGGTTTTGAGAGAGGCTAGAATTCCATATATGTGTGTCCATGAGCCTTGCCTCGGAAACTGTGCTCCAGCACCACTGGGGAGTAACACAAGGCAGAGGGCAAGGCACAGTCTAGGACTCAGGGATCCAACATGAGTGGTGGCAGAAGAGTTTGAAGAGGGCTCCTGGGCAAACAGGCCCAGGACAACCTAGGGAAACATAGACTATCCTGGAGGAGGATAAGCAGAGGCCAAGGAAAGTCACTTCAAAAAAAAACATGGAACATATGTTTTAGTAGGTAAAATATTATTTTTTGATAGGCATGTAACAAATGTCACAACACTTGGGGAAAGAAGAACTGTTAAAAAAAAAAAAAAAGGCAAAGGAACATAGTCGGAAAATTAATTCCACACACAAAATAATGAAGGATGTGAAAACAAGGAGGCCAGTTGGGGTCTAATGGTCGCATTTGGCTTTATGAGCTATCACGGGCTAGGAAAAAGGGGGTTATCTGGGGGAAGTGCAGAAGTGCTTGAATTTAAGAGAAAGAATGAAGCATGTACAAAGATGAGGCACAGTCAGAATACTCTATGACTCAGCAGTGAATAATATGTGCTTAGTCATAATCATGTAAATACCAATTAATTATTTAATAAAAAATGTGTTAGAGGTGGAAGAAAGAAACAGGGAGGTAAATAAGGTTACAGTGGAGTGAGGAAGTTACGCTTTCACCTGCTATGACAAGAAGTCAGCAGACAGTATTGAAGAAAATGGACTTAGTTATTTTTTATTTGATTTGATTTAAAAAGATTAATTTTCTTTTTTTTTTTTTTTTGAGATGGAGTTTCACTCTGTTACCCAGGCTGGAGTGCAGTGGCATGATCTCAGCTCACTGAAATCTCCGTATCCTGGGTTCAAGCAATCCTTTTGCCTCAGCCTCCTAAGTAGCTGGGATTACAGGCGCGCACCACCACACCTGGCTAATTTTTGTATTTTTAGTAGAGGCAGGGTTTCACCATCTTGGCCAGACTGGTCTTGAACTCCTGACCTCGTGATCCACCAGCCTTGGCCTGACAAAGTGCTGGGATTATAGGCGTGAGCCACCGCATCCAGCCAAAAGATTAAATATTTAAGGCAGATCTTTATATCACCCAAATTATGTAACTTAAATGTCAGACACCCTTAAAAATGGGCACAGTAAACCAAAGACTTTCCTCTATAAATCTGATGCTTAGGAAAATAGAAGAGATTTAGAAAATCCACCAAAAAAGGATCATGCTAACAGCACTGGCTCCCTGTTAAATGTTTAAGGAATCTTGACAGACTTTTAATTCAAACAATTGATTTCTTAACTTTTCAAAAGCTTACTTACATGATAGAGGCGAGAGGTCCTCTTTTCTCGCACTAAGAATGAAAAAATAAATCAATTCTGGTGTAAATACTATAGAATAAACGTAGTTGCTAATCATCTGATTATCACTATAGAAAAATGCGACAAAATTCCACTTTAAAAACTTCTTACCAACAAAATGTATAATTTAAATAATCTGGCATGATTAATCTCATAAAGTAAAATCTAAAAACATAGTTTTATTTTTGCCCTAACAGATATTCTATTACATAAAACTGAAAGAATCCCCATGTACACAAGGAAAGGCAAAACAAATTAGGGAACATATGTGCCCTGCAAATCTCATGTTGAAATGTAGTCTCCAGTGTTGGAGGTGGGGAAGTGTTTGGACTACGGGGGCAGATCCCTCATGAATGGCTTAGCACCATCCCCTTGGTGATGAGTGAGTTCCTGCTCTGAGTTCATGCATAATCTTCTTGGGTTTTTGTTGTTGTTGTTGTTGTTGTTCTGAGACAGGGTCTCACTCTGATGCCCAGGCTGGGGTACAGTGGCATGATTATGGTTCACTGCAACCTTGACCTCCTGGGCTCAAGTAATCCTCTCACCTTACCCTCAAGAATAGGAGGGGCTGCAGGCATGCACAACCACACCTGGCTAATTTTTAAATTTTCTGTAGAGACAGAGTCTCACTATGTTGGCCCAGGCTGGTCTCAGACTCCAGCCTCAATTGATCTGCCTGCCTCAGCCTCCCAAATACTGGGGTTACAGGCATGAGCCACTACACCAGGCCTGATCTGCTTATTTAAAAGCATGCAGCACCTCTCACTCTCTCTTGCTCCTTCTCTCACCGTGTGAAAAATGACTTCTTCACCTTCCACAGTGATTATTAGCTTCTTGAGGCCCTTGCCAGAAGCAGATGCTAGCACCACACTTTCTGTACAGCCTGTAGGACTGTGAGCCAATAAAGCCTCTTTTCTCTATAAATTATCCAGTCTCAAGTATTCCTTCATAGAAATGCCAAAATACAGGACAGATGAGAAATTCAGCTAATAAAAAATTTACCTATTGTACATCTGAACCCCTAAGTAGTAGTGTTTTCTGATTCTACATTTACACATAGCTTACTTTCATTACCAGGATCTAATAGCTGACAGCTCTAAGAACCAGTTTCTGACCAGGAGCCAATCTCCAGATGCACTAGAATCCCTGCAAGCATCCCAAATGACTTATCGCTCATCTATTAATATGTTACTGAAAAAATAAATGGGTCTTTACACAACTGGAAAGTAGCCTGTCTTAAACTCAAATGTTAAAATGAGTGTGCCAACCTAATTGAACACGGCATCCTCAGCACACAAAACCATTTTGTTCTAACACAGGTTCGAAGAATAAAAGCTACAAGGGGGAATTGGGCCACACTTTGTTCCCTACAACGCCTCCTCCTTTGAAGTTGAACTGGTCTCACTGACACACATTTCTCACTGCTGAAGAGACGGGGACATGGGGTAGGTTTTCTTCCACTTCCATACACTCTATGTGTGAGAAGCCCATGGCTCTGGAAGAAACTGAAAAATACAACAATCCTAACCGGAAGTTACCAGCTCAAGACAGGCAAAGTCCACACAAACTATGAAAATGCAGGGGAGAAACCCATTTTGTATTGTACGGCATTCCTTCAGATGTTATTATAGAACCCGCACTTCTTCTATTCCTACTGTTGAAATTAACTGAAAAACATGGTGTATGGCATTTTTGAAAATAAAGTAAGATTTAGCAGAATGTTACAAAAATAAGCAGTAGTACAGAAAACTCCTACAGTTCTAATTCTCTTCCTAAAACAAGCAGGATGTGGAAACTTTACACTACTTTCACACACTAAGGCTAACCTGGATAAACAGCACAGGCCATGTTTACATTTCCATTACATTCGAGTGAAAAAGTTCTGAGTAGCATGAACATGGATGTGATAGGCTCGTGTGGTTAGAGCATTGTGCAAAAAGGAGGCCAACAGCACAGATCCAATCTAGAACAACAAATTCTTTTGATTTGTTCAAGTGAAATCCAAGCTGTAGCCTAAATCCTATCACTCATCATCAAAATGTACTCTTTGGAAGAAGGGAAAAAGGGCAAAGACCTATGAAGAAAAAGGCGTATATCCATAACTACTACACTAAATCATGTGGCCCATTAATTGCACTGATAAAAATGTTGCCAAAGGTATAAACACAAAGTCTGCAAGTTTCCATGAACAGTGACAAGTAAAGGAAATTATGTCACCTATTAAAATAAGATGAGTAAATATATTAAATATTAAAACATTTTAACTACTATCTGAGTTCCTCTAAATACTTTCTGTAATATACAAAACAGAAAGTTTGTAGTTTTTTGCTTGGAGGAAGAAGCAATATTGTCTTACCACTCATTTGATATTTTCTCAGGAAGAGTGTGCTTTCCCTTGGATGGTCAGAACCAAAATCTGTAGAGGAAGAAGGAAAAATGTAATAATTTAAGTGAGTAGAAAAGATACTTTTTAAAGCTACACATCCATTTTAATCACTTTTAACAATCTTGAGAAAAGTTTTAGTAATAAATGTAAAGAAAATAAATGCCACAATGTCACAGTTCTACTGGAGAATGCAAAAAATCACAGAAGTTCTCCACATATGTGGAATAAAACCGGGCTGTGTCTGGGACTTCTTTTTAAAATTTGCACCTAAATAAACTGATGCAACTTGTAGATGAATCATACACACGCCCTCCTCCTTCTTCTTATCAAATATACCCACCCTCCTCTATGCTGCTATTACCAGCACATTTCAGGGAAAGTCTCAAGCAGCAAGTGATGCTGTGGTCAATTACTGTCAGACACAGGCTTGATATGTCAAATATGTTAAAACAAAGAGCTATTTTGGGCAAAAAACACTTTTTTAAAGAGACAGGGTCTCACTCTGTTGCCCGGGCTGGCGTGGTGCAATGGTGCGATGGAGCCAGCAGAGCTCACTGAAGCCTCACACTCCTGGGCTCAAGAGATCCTCTTGCAGCTGAGACTATTGGTGCAAGTTACCACATCTGGCTAATTTTTGACCATGTTTTTTTTTCGTAGAGACAGGGTGAAATGAGACATACATGGAAATGTGCTGTAAATCCTAAGGAATGATATAGTCTGTTTTGGACTCTCATCCAACACTACCCATCTATCACCTAGTGTATAAAACCACTGAGTGGCTTACCTTACACCAACCAAACAAGGAACAACATTCACAAGCACCAAAGTTTAAAGAGAAGAGCTGTGAGACACTTCCTCTACAGAAATGAAATCTGTAGCACACATTTTCTATTTTGAAAACTTAGTTTTCCGCCAGCCTGGGGGGATGAGAAAGGGGCCAGAACTGGGCACTGGGGCAGGGAGGAGGAGAGAAACCGCTAGATGATGCAGGGAAAAAGAATGAGGGAGAGGGTGGGCAGGCAAGAAGCAAGGCCAATCCTCCTGCCTGGTCTCTGGGCCTAGGAAAGCTGGCTACAGGCAGAAGGCAGGAGCCCAAGGCTGTGGATGCCTCTAGTGGGGACCCTGGGTCAGCGGCAGCCAGAGGCGCGCCTGAGGGCAAACAGTATCAGTCGCCTCCTTACCTTTGGGCATCTCCTGGTCGCCGACGTGCTGCAGGTCATGGCCCTCTTGGGCTCCGAAATCAGACTGGGCAGGCTCCACAGCAGGGGGGTGTGGTGCCACTGCCACCTCCGCCTCCGTGATGTTACAGCTGCAGGGCGGTTCCGTCCACTGCACCCCGGGCTGGCTTTGCTTGGGACTGACATTGGGGAGCAGCATGTTCCATCTGTGGCGCCTCCGCTCCTCTCTGCCTTGGCCTGCACCTCTGCTTGACGATGCCTCACAGATTTCAGCGCTGCAGGACAACTCCCCAGACCCCCTGTGCTGGCCCCGCTTGGGGCTGGCATTGGGGAACAGCATGTTCCATCTGCTGTGCCTCCGCTCCTCTCTGCCTTGGCCTGCACCTCTGCTTGCCACCGCCTCATAGATGTCAGAGCCACAGTACAGCTCCGCAGACCCCCTGGACAGACCCTGCCTGGGGCTGGGGTTGGTGCCCAAGCAACAGCTCAGCGTGTTCCCCATGGGGTAGCCCCGCTCCTCTCCAGCAGCTTGGGCCTTCCCTTGCTTCCAAGTCTGCAGAGCTCAGCACTTCCACCGCTTCCCAACAACGGCACGCTGGCAGGGCCAGCCCCTGGCTATGGGGCTGCACCCCACTAGCAGCCCGCACCCCACCTCTGCCGCCTCCCCTGAGCCGACTTGCCTGCAAGGGTCCCTTGGGAACCTGCTTGGTTTATTTAGAATGGGTCTAGATGCAAGAAGCCTGATAGCTGTGATTGCGGAGAAGAGAGCACACAGGGAGCTCCTTCTCCTTCCACTGCTTCCCACCAACTGAACAAGGTTGCCCTGCCAACCGCCAGAGCTCCCTCCTGGTTCCCAGGAACCAATCAGACCCAGAGTCCCCTCCACGCGCCCGCGCACCCATTGTGATGTGGGAGCCTAGGCCCCTGGCTCACCAGGCCCCGCCCTGCTGGCAGCCCCGCCCCCACCTTTCATTCATTGCTGGCTGCTGGGAGCTTTCAGGTTGCTCCACTGTGAGGAAGTTCCTAGAGATCATCACTTTACAATGAATTATACTAAAATTACTGTAACCAAATCTGCTTCATGCATTATCTGGCATCCAAAGAACGCCCTTTCCCCAGTGGCCTGTGAGGTTTTTAGAAACTAGAGAGACCCAGGTGCTTTCAGAAAAAGCATTGCCATGAACTTAGTCTACTCTGTGATGTCAACTTATATTTTCAATACATATATAGATTCAACACATATATATTCAATTTACACTTTTGGAAAATAACACACATATTCAATCAAACAAGAGTAATAGGGGAAATTTCCTAAAATTTATGTACTAAGTACATCACATTTTTCTAATTATCACTTTGATAGAGCAACTTAGAATCTATGGTTTCAGCAAATGAAGACGCTTATATAAAAGAGAACCAGGCCAGACGCGGTGGCTCATGCCTGTAATCCCAGCACTTTGGGAAGCCAAGGAGGCCAGATCATGAGGTCAGGATCTCGAGACCATCCTGACTAACACGGTGAACCCTGTCCCTACTAAAAATACAAAAAATTACTGGAGTGGTGGCACACGCCTGTATTCCAGCTACTCGGGAGCTGAGGCAGGAGAAATCTCTTGAACCCAGGAGGTGGAGGTTGCAGTGACCCAGATTGCACCACTGCACTCCCAGCCTGCCAAGCAGAGATACCATCTCAAACAAAAAAAGAAAAGAAAAAGAACCACCACGTAATACAATATTTTAAAATTCATTATCATTGCTACTGGTTTTTTTGTTGTTTGTTTTTGACAGAGTCTCCACTCTTGTTGCCCAGGCGGAATCAGTGGCACCATCTCGGCTCACCACAACCTCCACCTCCTGGGTTCACAATGATTCCCCTGTCTCAGCCTCCTGAGTACTGCGGTTACAGGCATGGCGCCCAATGCCCGACTAACTTATTTTAGTACAGACAGATTTCTCCATGTTTGTCAGGCTGCTCTCGAACTTCCCTGACCTCAGGTGATCCACCTGCTTCGGCCTCCCAAAGTGCTCGGGATTAAAGGCATGAGCCACTGCGCCTGGTCATTGGCTCCTTTTAATTAGCAATTACTAAGTAAATGCTAGCGACTGCTTTGTGACTAACTGGCAATTTATGTAATCTTTCTTATCCTTGGTTAATCTAAAAAATATGAATAACACAAATTTTATAAACTTGCTCAAAAAATTAAATGAGGGAAATAGAATACTCCTCCCTCCATAATATTGGACACTTACAAAATTACAGGCATTGTGTGTAAATTTATACACATGTACACATATGTAAGCCTCATAACAATCCCATCTTTTGTAGGTGAGAAAACTGAGGCTCAGAGAAGTTAAAAACACATTCACTATCGTATAGTAATGAGCGATGGAACCGGCATTCAACCCAGTTCTGTGCGACTCCGAAGGTGGTGGATCATCTTAACAAAGACCAAGTTATACCCGGCACATGTAGGTACTCAAAATATGTGGATTGCCTTTTTCTATCCCCTTATGTGTGAATTTCAGTGGCTTTCACAACCTCAGAACAACCCCACACACCCTCCCACGTTGCCTTTCAGTGGTTCCCTTCTTCTTGGGGATGATTAGGAGTCTGCATATTTTGACTACTTCTTCAATCATCTCCTTATAAACATGTGTGGATAAAGTAATGAAATTTTCCAGGCCTTAGGTTACTAACTGAATTGTCTAGCTTATTCATTGCAAATTTGTTTGTAATACAATTTATTACATGAAAAAAATCACAGGATCCACTGAATTTGTGCAGAAAGATCCCAAACTAAACTGCAGGAACATCTTACTGACTACACTGGAAGACCAGCCCGAACACACAAAGCAAGAGTCTCTCCAAAGGCCAGGTGTGGGTGGTTCTTGCCTGTAATCCCAGCAATTGAAAGGCCAAAGTGGTGGATCACTTAAGGCCAGGAGTTCGAGTCCAGGCTGGCCAACACAGTGAGACCCTCTAGGGAAGAGTGAGGATTGCCTGGGCTCTTTGTGTTCCTGAGGCCATTTTCCAATCACTTTTTTTTTTTTTTTAACTTAAAAGGTTGCAGAGTTCTCAGGAACAGTCAGATTCACTGTGGAAGGACCTGAGTCCCATGTGTTCAGCTAGTTTAGACCATCTCCTTGTTCTCCTGGGTGACCTGGCAAATGGACGCTGCCTGCTGTGCAGGCTGCTCAGGTGATTTGTCCAGGCTGACAATGGGAGGACTATTTTGAGCTTTTTTGCGTCCCAAGGTACCCAGAGGGGCGGTGCAGCAGCCAAAACTTTCTGGAATGTGGGAAAAGCCTGTGTCCTGAATGATGAAAATCTCATTCTTCTTTACTGCAAGCTCCTCGGAGCCAGCAGCATCCTGGTTCCAAATATTGGGGTCGCCATTCATTCTTTGGGCTGCCAGATCCTTCGGGAATGTTTCAGAGAATTTCAGGCCATCACCCCCTAGCAGAGCCTTGGACTGTTCCACTGAGGCAGCTCGCCTTGGGGGAGGATGTGGGAGTCGTTATTCCACATGTACCAAGTGTACCTGGAGGTTGCCCTTGGTGATGCAGGCCTGACACAGATGGCCCACTGAATGGCTTCTCCCCAGTGTGGGTGCCCTCTGGATCTGCAGAGCACCGGCGGTGCGACGGGGCAGGGGATAGCACCGGCACGAAGCCCGGTCCCACTCCTCTCTTAAGTCCAGCCGTGTCCTGGACTCCCCCCACAGCGGCGGGCCCTGCCCGGCCTGATGGCCTGGCAGTGACCTTGAGCTCCATCTGTGATAGTGGTGGGCGCCGCGCTGGAGACAGGGTGCGGGTCTGTGGAGGGTCCTCCTCTCCGCTGAGGAACTGCAAGCTGAAAGGGGACCTTCCTTGCCAACCGGCGGAGGTGGTGGGGACGGTGGTCAGGCCCAGGGCGCCTAGTGGCCAGGGGCGGGCTGGCGGGATGTCCAGCTTCCGGGTCCTGAGCGCTATTCCCTGGGCTCCTCCAGGTTGCCCAGGCCGGGGACTTGGGGAGGAAGCGCTTGCCCAGCACCAGGGCAGTTTCTGTGCCCGGGTCTTCCGCAGCGATAGGTTCGGCGCTGGCCCTTGCAGCGCTTCGCCAAGGAGACAGCTACAGGAGACATTGGCTGTGGCGCGATGCCGACCAGCAGGCGAGGAAGACGCTGCCAGGAGGGCTGAGGCAGAAGAGGGCTTGGCGGGCTTGGCAAGCTTGGCGGCGAGCTCAAGAGGGACCCTGACCCCAGCGCTGAGGCGCAGATGCCAAAGAGGCTGCAAAGAGTCGCGACCCGCTACTCTTTGGAGGCAGGAGAAGGGGTCGGTTCCGCGCTGGGGGCAGCCAAGGCTAGGAGTGGGGAGGAGCCGCTGGGGAGTCGGAGGCGCTGGAGGTGGCGCAGGCTGGGACAAGAACCCGGAGCCGGAGCCCGCGGGGTCGGCATGGGCCCCTGCGGAGAACCGGAGCGCCGGGCGCGGGTTCAATGGGGGCAGCTGGCTTGGCCAGGTCAGATGTGCTCAGGGCTGAGCCAGGGCGGCAGCTACCGCGGTGCCTGATGGCCCCGGGGCTGCCTGCGTGGGGCCAGGAGCCGCTCCAGGATCCCGGCACAGCCACCCTGCCTGCCTGCAGGAGCCCTGGAGGAACCGGGCGACACCTGGTGGTGCTCAGCGCCGTCTCCAACTCCTGCGGTGCTGGGCACTGGGACCGCCGGCGGGGCCCAGCGCAGGTCCCCCTGAAGTCTCTGCTTTTACAGGCTCGGCATCCTTCTCTGTGGGCGTCACCTTGCCTTCCTGCGCGGGCTCCTCAGAGACCATGCTCTTGGCCTGGTCGCTAGGCGAGCTGGTAGGATAAGGTTCCGGATTCCTCAGCGGGTGGGGCCCTAGGCTGTGTGCAGTGAGATCATCAGGGGCGGGGTGCCCAGGCTCTTCTGCTGCAGGAAGTTCAGCGGCTGGAGCTCCTCACAGTTTGTCGCTGTAGTTCATCTCTGGCCGGCTGCTGCTCTCCACCTGCTGTCTGGGTCGTGGGGCTTCCCCCAGTGGCCTGCTGGGGAATCCCTGCAGGGGGCAACAGCTCCTCCTCCATCTTGAGGAGTGGGGCTTGGCCTGTTTGCAGCCAGACAGGCTGTCATTGATGCCTTTCAACCATCTACACACACACATATGCACACACAACAACTCACCCTGTGACATGTGCATGCGTCACACACACACACATATATTCAGACACAAGCTGGATGTCTGAAAGATTAAACAGCTCAGAAAACTACCAAGAACAAAAGAGTAGTCAGGGGACATCTCTGAGTTAACAGAAGGGAAGATAAGAAATCAGGTTGCTAGAATTGCTTACGTAATAAATATAAACCAAAAGATACATATTTTAATACATCCAATGGTATAGCAAAATTCTACCTTATGCTCCAGCATCCCTGCCTTCAGACCATCATTCAGAGCATGGTGACTCTCCGTTTATGCTGAATTCCAACGGTACTGGAAATTTCTCATTCACGGCAA